ATTTTCTTTAGTAGTATGTAATTTTTATAAGCCTTTTACAGGCTCATAATAGTAATTATTAGGATAGGCAAATTTTTTTTTTTTTTTTTCGATATCCCTTACCCCTTTTTCTTTCTTGCTTGTATCTTTTATCATATCTCCTTTTTACCTCTGTTTTATTTTTTCTTTTGTGTTTGTGCTTTCGTTAATTTAGCTCTTTTGATGAAACGTGCAGCTGCTAGGGCTAAGGAACAGAAGGTTCATATCCTCAGTAAGTTGAGGATCCAATGTGAAGCCAATTGCTACTAGGTGGGTCATTCTCTGAGCTTAGCTTGAGTTGATCTTTACTCATGTGGAATATAGTATAGAAAATTATATCTTCTTGTTAATATAAGTTCTGGTACTTCCCAATAAAGAGTAATAGGCAGAACCACTGAATTAAAAAAAAATATATACTGTAGTAGAAAATTTGTATGTATCTAAAACTAAAATTGCAAATAGTTTAGCAAATTTTGTATGCATCTAAAACTAAAATTTCATATAGTATTCAAACTTGCAATAAAGTATTCTTAGATTTGATTGGTTGAAATATCATGCAATCAAGCCAATTTAGCTTAGGATAGTAATCATTAAAATGAAAAATCAAATATTTATTAACACACACAAGACACCAAAAAGCACTAATGATACCGGTGTTACAAGTAAGTATCTTATTAATAAGTGTATGCGGTACACTATAGTCCTCCAAAATATCTCTTGTTCCAACTCAAAGATCAAACTAAAATCTACCAACTTACTAACTAACCTAAAGACTAACCAACAGACTCTCTCTAAAACTCCCTATTTATATCTACTAATAGACTCTAAATAAGCTATACACTATTTACATACATGTAGTATAACAATATAAAGTCTAATTAAAATATACTCTATGACTATAAACTTTGCATAAACTATTATAAGGTTACACGGCAAAAGTATAATTGTTACACAAAGAAAAGTTTAATCGTTAACTATGTTACGTTATTTTGTGTAACACCATCCGCTTCGTTCCACTACGTTCCCGGTATAGGACATTTACTTAAAGCCTTTTGTTTATGTTTAATAACATTATCATTCCATATGTACCAATAGGCTTTCTCTCTCCCACCCTACGTGTCATGATTGAGCATGCGTCCTTTACGTCTTACATTAGGAACAATATTATATTATGGAGAACTTAAGGCTATATAATGAATAACTATATATGGAATGCATTAGGGTACACATTAAGTAATACAGGGATGCTAAAGACTGAATAAGGGAAACGAGTTGAAATTGTAACAATGAATTTTGAGTTAAATAATTGCCAAATATTTAGTTTGCAATAATAAATAATATATACGTAGTCATTTGATGCGAAACAAAGAACAAAATCTACTGCAAATTTCGGAGATTCCAGTAAATTAAGATAAGTTTCAGAGCAATTTTTTGATAGTTGGAAATTTTCCGTTTGTTCAGAATTTTAACACTTTCTTACATCATAACTACCTCCGGCTACTGATCCTAAGTCCCGTTTAATAAAAAGATCACTAGATAAATATCAGGACATGTCATGCCACAATTTTGCGAAACAACCAGTATCGAGAAACAATCAAAAACTTTTTACCCGAGTAAAGCTTAATTAGAATTATAATAAAATTATAGAAATTCAATAATTTGCAATATAATTTACGAGCAATATTATATATTATGCAAGCCACTATGTAAGTTTACACTATATACAAACAATTACACTGGTGAAATTTTGCAAGTGATACACAATATAAACAGTTTTTTATTCGTTAGAGACCTCGACACTTATTGTTTCTTTTTTTTTTTTTTTTTTTTAAATTTCCCACAGGAAAGCTATATTATTTATAAGACAATACATGTGAGGTTTTCCCTTTCCATTTCTATTAACAAGGCGCTAAGGATTATTGAAACAACTTATACTAGTATTTAAAGAAAAGTGGTTCTTTTGTAATAACCTTGAGATATATAAAATGTCCCTTTATTCAAAAAAATATTGGAATGCATTACAAAGTGGTAAGATTAAGAAGGTAATGGTTACTGCTCCTCCAGCAGGTCGCATAAACATTCAATCTACTCCACGATACTATTACTACAGTGAATTAGCGATACGCGAGGGCATACTTATGGAAATAATAGTAGATAAATATGATGTGCTCCATAAATCGGGAAACCACTATAATGGACATTCTATGGGAAGTGATACACTTATTAATATTTTGCGGACTCAAGATACCATTTCGAATAGTGCGACCTCATTTGAAAATCATAGCATGATATATTATGCATTTAAAGACTATAATGAAGCACTAATTAATGTTAATCAAGCATTGGAGATCGGCCCAGTGAGTTTACATGCTTTTAAACTTCGTGGTGAATTCTCGGTAATTATGATCAGGGGCTAATAGATCTTAACAGGGCTTTGGAAATCAATTCCAAGGATTCTAGCACACTTGTAATTCGTGGAATACTGTATAGTGATCTCGGAAACTACCATCAAGCAATGGCTGATCATGACAAGGCGGTTACAGAATCTATTTCTTTTAAAACTGCACCGGTCAGCTCTGCTTCACAATATTTTATTGACTTATTTGATTTTACGGAAGCATACCAAGAAGACATAATTGCACTTAGAGCTCGTAGTTCACTACATATAAAGCTTAAAAACTACAATCAAGCACTGGCAGATCTCAACAAGGCATTGGAAATTGACCCAATTAGTGATTCTGTTCTTTTTGACCGTTCTTTATTATATTCCGAACTTAAAAACTATGACCAAGTACTAATTGATGTTAACAGGGTATTGGAACTTGATGAAAAAAATGCACATGCAGTTTATTGTCGATCATTAACATCATGTACTTGGAAATTTTGACAAAGCATTAGCTGATGTTAGTAAACTTGATTCATACAATAATGCAGCAGTACTTGCACTTCGTGGTATGGTGTTATATAGTTTAAAGAACTACAAAGAAGCATTGGCTGATTTCGACAAGGTATTAGAGATCGATCCAGAAAGTCGCTATGGATCATTAGCGCTTGAATATCGTGGTTACATACTTATATCTTTTAACAATTCTGAAGGATTAGCCGATCTTAGCAAGGCTGGTGTATTAACAAAATATCTTAATAATTTTGATACTAGTTCAGGAAAACCAAATTCATTTATAATTCGTGCCGTTCAAAACTATGAGGAAAAAAATTATAACCAAGCATTGATTAATATTGACACGGCTTTGAGCATTGATCCTGATTTATATTTTGGACTTTATTTTCGAGGGTTAATATATTTTACACTTGGTAACTACAACCAAGCATTAATTGACCTTAACGATTCTTTGACGATTAAGCCCAAGAGTTTACCGTCACTTGAAATTCGTGCTGATTTGCATAAAAAACTAAAAAATTATGATCAAGAACTAGAAGATCTTAACGAAATTTTGGAAATCGACCCAAATAAAGTATCTGCACTTGTAAAACGTGGCATTTTATATTGAGATCATGAAAATTGTGATAAAGTATTTAGAAATGTGTGTAAACTCTTAAATAAAAATAAATCTTTCTTACGAATATCCATCAATTCGGGTAATGAAAACATTGATCAAGTTTTGACAAATATGAAATGGACACTAGTTCTCGAATTATGTCGTAAGGAGACAATAAATCAATGGTTATCTGAATATTTTTCAAATGAAACTAGAAGTTTAAATGTATATGAGATTGCCTATTTTATTGACGAACTGAAGGATTATGATGATTTATTTTTAGGAATGGATGTTGATTTAAAGAAGACGAATATAATATGGGATGAAACCATTAGTTTCTTGACTGAAAATTCGATTTCAACACGACAAAAAATAAAAGAATTTATGATACAAGCTATATATAAAAATGATTTGCTTAATGCGTCTGAAATTACTCATTTACTTAAACGATTACAAAATGCTGAAGATAATTATTTGTCATTTAATGGGGTTGATAAATTTAACACGGATTATATTTGGAATCTTATTATTAAAATGTTCTCTAAAGAAACTTTTTCAACTGATCAACAGGCTTTTGATTTTCTCAGCCATTTCCAGCTTCAGCCGCGACAATAATTTTGATTTCTCTAACGTGGATGGACATCTTTTTGTGCATAAAATCATCGCAATTTTAAGTCGTGCAAGAAAAAAGGCATTCTCAGCTTCATTAATATTAGCAATTCCATTTGAAAACTTATTGAAAAATTCTAATACTTGTTGATTAGTTAAAAAGCTTTCCCTGGAAAACATTCTACAAAAAACATTCCATATGTAATCAATTCTTTTTTTATCAAGTCTATCATCATAAATCTGTTGATTTAAAATGACATTACTTGTTATAGTTCTGGTGTCATCTTTCTTGAATAAAGCAAGTACGAACTGAATCCTTGCAAGGAAAAAAACATTCTCGGAATTGTTAAAATTGACAATTCCATTTGCAAATTGGCCGAGAAAATCAAAAGCCTGTTGATCAGTTGAAAAAGTTTCTTTAGAGAACATTTTAATAATAAGATTCCAAATATAATCCGTGTTAAATTTATCAACCCCATTAAATGACAAATAATTATCTTCAGCATTTTGTAATCGTTTAAGTAAATGAGTAATTTCAGACGCATTAAGCAAATCATTTTTATATATAGCTTGTATCATAAATTCTTTTATTTTTTGTCGTGTTGAAATCGAATTTTCAGTCAAGAAACTAATGGTTTCATCCCATATTATATTCGTCTTCTTTAAATCAACATCCATTCCTAAAAATAAATCATCATAATCCTTCAGTTCGTCAATAAAATAGGCAATCTCATATACATTTAAACTTCTAGTTTCATTTGAAAAATATTCAGATAACCATTGATTTATTGTCTCCTTACGACATAATTCGAGAACTAGTGTCCATTTCATATTTGTCAAAACTTGATCAATGTTTTCATTACCCGAATTGATGGATATTCGTAAGAAAGATTTATTTTTATTTAAGAGTTTACACACATTTCTAAATACTTTATCACAATTTTCATGATCTCAATATAAAATGCCACGTTTTACAAGTGCAGATACTTTATTTGGGTCGATTTCCAAAATTTCGTTAAGATCTTCTAGTTCTTGATCATAATTTTTTAGTTTTTTATGCAAATCAGCACGAATTTCAAGTGACGGTAAACTCTTGGGCTTAATCGTCAAAGAATCGTTAAGGTCAATTAATGCTTGGTTGTAGTTACCAAGTGTAAAATATATTAACCCTCGAAAATAAAGTCCAAAATATAAATCAGGATCAATGCTCAAAGCCGTGTCAATATTAATCAATGCTTGGTTATAATTTTTTTCCTCATAGTTTTGAACGGCACGAATTATAAATGAATTTGGTTTTCCTGAACTAGTATCAAAATTATTAAGATATTTTGTTAATACACCAGCCTTGCTAAGATCGGCTAATCCTTCAGAATTGTTAAAAGATATAAGTATGTAACCACGATATTCAAGCGCTAATGATCCATAGCGACTTTCTGGATCGATCTCTAATACCTTGTCGAAATCAGCCAATGCTTCTTTGTAGTTCTTTAAACTATATAACACCATACCACGAAGTGCAAGTACTGCTGCATTATTGTATGAATCAAGTTTACTAACATCAGCTAATGCTTTGTCAAAATTTCCAAGTACATGATGTTAATGATCGACAATAAACTGCATGTGCATTTTTTTCATCAAGTTCCAATACCCTGTTAACATCAATTAGTACTTGGTCATAGTTTTTAAGTTCGGAATATAATAAAGAACGGTCAAAAAGAACAGAATCACTAATTGGGTCAATTTCCAATGCCTTGTTGAGATCTGCCAGTGCTTGATTGTAGTTTTTAAGCTTTATATGTAGTGAACTACGAGCTCTAAGTGCAATTATGTCTTCTTGGTATGCTTCCGTAAAATCAAATAAGTCAATAAAATATTGTGAAGCAGAGCTGACCGGTGCAGTTTTAAAAGAAATAGATTCTGTAACCGCCTTGTCATGATCAGCCATTGCTTGATGGTAGTTTCCGAGATCACTATACAGTATTCCACGAATTACAAGTGTGCTAGAATCCTTGGAATTGATTTCCAAAGCCCTGTTAAGATCTATTAGCCCCTGATCATAATTACCGAGAATTCACCACGAAGTTTAAAAGCATGTAAACTCACTGGGCCGATCTCCAATGCTTGATTAACATTAATTAGTGCTTCATTATAGTCTTTAAATGCATAATATATCATGCTATGATTTTCAAATGAGGTCGCACTATTCGAAATGGTATCTTGAGTCCGCAAAATATTAATAAGTGTATCACTTCCCATAGAATGTCCATTATAGTGGTTTCCCGATTTATGGAGCACATCATATTTATCTACTATTATTTCCATAAGTATGCCCTCGCGTATCGCTAATTCACTGTAGTAATAGTATCGTGGAGTAGATTGAATGTTTATGCGACCTGCTGGAGGAGCAGTAACCATTACCTTCTTAATCTTACCACTTTGTAATGCATTCCAATATTTTTTTGAATAAAGGGACATTTTATATATCTCAAGGTTATTACAAAAGAACCACTTTTCTTTAAATACTAGTATAAGTTGTTTCAATAATCCTTAGCGCCTTGTTAATAGAAATGGAAAGGGAAAACCTCACATGTATTGTCTTATAAATAATATAGCTTTCCTGTGGGAAATTTAAAAAAAAAAAAAAAAAAAAGAAACAATAAGTGTCGAGGTCTCTAACGAATAAAAAACTGTTTATATTGTGTATCACTTGCAAAATTTCACCAGTGTAATTGTTTGTATATAGTGTAAACTTACATAGTGGCTTGCATAATATATAATATTGCTCGTAAATTATATTGCAAATTATTGAATTTCTATAATTTTATTATAATTCTAATTAAGCTTTACTCGGGTAAAAAGTTTTTGATTGTTTCTCGATACTGGTTGTTTCGCAAAATTGTGGCATGACATGTCCTGATATTTATCTAGTGATCTTTTTATTAAACGGGACTTAGGATCAGTAGCCGGAGGTAGTTATGATGTAAGAAAGTGTTAAAATTCTGAACAAACGGAAAATTTCCAACTATCAAAAAATTGCTCTGAAACTTATCTTAATTTACTGGAATCTCCGAAATTTGCAGTAGATTTTGTTCTTTGTTTCGCATCAAATGACTACGTATATATTATTTATTATTGCAAACTAAATATTTGGCAATTATTTAACTCAAAATTCATTGTTACAATTTCAACTCGTTTCCCTTATTCAGTCTTTAGCATCCCTGTATTACTTAATGTGTACCCTAATGCATTCCATATATAGTTATTCATTATATAGCCTTAAGTTCTCCATAATATAATATTGTTCCTAATGTAAGACGTAAAGGACGCATGCTCAATCATGACACGTAGGGTGGGAGAGAGAAAGCCTATTGGTACATATGGAATGATAATGTTATTAAACATAAACAAAAGGCTTTAAGTAAATGTCCTATACCGGGAACGTAGTGGAACGAAGCGGATGGTGTTACACAAAATAACGTAACATAGTTAACGATTAAACTTTTCTTTGTGTAACAATTATACTTTTGCCGTGTAACCTTATAATAGTTTATGCAAAGTTTATAGTCATAGAGTATATTTTAATTAGACTTTATATTGTTATACTACATGTATGTAAATAGTGTATAGCTTATTTAGAGTCTATTAGTAGATATAAATAGGGAGTTTTAGAGAGAGTCTGTTGGTTAGTCTTTAGGTTAGTTAGTAAGTTGGTAGATTTTAGTTTGATCTTTGAGTTGGAACAAGAGATATTTTGGAGGACTATAGTGTACCGCATACACTTATTAATAAGATACTTACTTGTAACACCGGTATCATTAGTGCTTTTTGGTGTCTTGTGTGTGTTAATAAATATTTGATTTTTCATTTTAATGATTACTATCCTAAGCTAAATTGGCTTGATTGCATGATATTTCAACCAATCAAATCTAAGAATACTTTATTGCAAGTTTGAATACTATATGAAATTTTAGTTTTAGATGCATACAAAATTTGCTAAACTATTTGCAATTTTAGTTTTAGATACATACAAATTTTCTACTACAGTATATATTTTTTTTTAATTCAGTGGTTCTGCCTATTACTCTTTATTGGGAAGTACCAGAACTTATATTAACAAGAAGATATAATTTTCTATACTATATTCCACATGAGTAAAGATCAACTCAAGCTAAGCTCAGAGAATGACCCACCTAGTAGCAATTGGCTTCACATTGGATCCTCAACTTACTGAGGATATGAACCTTCTGTTCCTTAGCCCTAGCAGCTGCACGTTTCATCAAAAGAGCTAAATTAACGAAAGCACAAACACAAAAGAAAAAATAAAACAGAGGTAAAAAGGAGATATGATAAAAGATACAAGCAAGAAAGAAAAAGGGGTAAGGGATATCGAAAAAAAAAAAAAAAAATTTGCCTATCCTAATAATTACTATTATGAGCCTGTAAAAGGCTTATAAAAATTACATACTACTAAAGAAAAT